TAGCCAGGAGGAGGCTCGCCCAGCGCCAGCTGCTCCAACCTGGGACTGACATGTGGGGGCATGTCCCAGGACATGGGCCGAGATCTTCTCGCCCCTTTCGTTCAGACCCGGGCATCCCGTTGGTCTGCAGCTCCGAGTTCGCGATCTCCTTGAGCCCAGGATTGCCTGAGTCTGATAGTCACATCAAGGCACACCGGGACCGAAACGACACCACCAAGACCTGTTCTGCGTTCACTATAGCGTCACCTTCTTGTCCTCCTCCCGACTGCAGTTACACATCAAGACTATTCTCAGAAAGTATATCTACCAGTGGCCACGCCTCTGCGCATTGTCTATGGTGGGAGGGTGAACAAATTGATCAGAATTGGAATGGGGAGCCAGTGGATGCACCCAAGGAAATCGAGCTGCTGCCATTCCGCACATGGGACATTCCCCAGTGGGCGCCGTGAAATCTGAAGTCTCCGAAAAGCTGGTGGAATCTCAAAATCGGGTTGGCATTTTCAGGCAAGGCTCCCAATATGTTTCCTGCCAGCAAAATGCTCTTCAGCTGCGGGAGGCCGTGGATCAGACTTGCAATAGCTGCGGCAGAGTTGTCTCCCAACTGGTTGTCGCCTCTCAGGTGTTGTCAAGTTGATCGGCATTTTGGCTCTGCAAAAGTAACCTGGCAGCTACATCTAGCACCTCTACATCACCCGTACTACGTTGTTCTGCAAAAGCTCTCCGACGTGAAATCTACTTTTAGCAACGCCAGCGCAATGCTAGCTCTTTTCTGCCAAGTGGCTCAGGTCCAACCTGGTCAAGCTCTTGCCTCGAAGCTGCCTGTGTCGGGGCCAGGCTGGGAGATCGCATATATATATATATATAAATATGTATATATATATATATGTATATATATGTATATGCACCTACAAATTCCTCTTCTGGAGAGCAGGTTGCTGTGGGGCCGGGGTTGTTGAAAACCCACTTTAAACAGGATCAGGGATATGTTTAGGGAGGGAAATGTTGTGAGGGCCCTTCTGTAAAAACAAAATACATATATATATATATATATATATCTATCTATACACACTGTACCTACTATGTTATATGTATATATATATATGTGTATAATTTCGTATTTTCTACACACTTTATATACTATACTATTACTATACACTTTATGTATATCTATATCTCTATCTGTATCTCTATATATATACATACATACATACATACATACATACATACATACATATATATATATATATATATGTATATATGCAAAAAGTACACTACCAGGTCACTACCAGACTTCTACAGGATTGTTCCGGGCATGTGACATCGCCAGGCAGGAGGCTCCAGCAGCACCCATGCGTAAGCTCCGGAAAGAGAGGCGGTCCTGAAACACTATCACTGACCCGTCTCGCAGAGCATGTAAGGACGAGGGAGTGACAAAAACACCGAGCACAAACATGGATTCTCTGACTTCAATCATGCGCAGTCTCCTCAGCGGTCCATCGTGTCTCAGACCTTAATCACTTCCGTGTGTTGAGGAATGCCACATGCCTTGTGCTCAAATTACAAAATTGTGCACCCTTCAAAGGGAGCAGCAACTCTCACCAACTCTGCGACTTTGAGGCTCATCTCGGGTCTATGCTTGTCTCAGCAGCTGTCACACCATCTCAGGGTCCGGCGGCTGCACCCTCAGCATCTGACTGTGAACGGAGGCCGTTGAAGGACGACGCATCGCTCCTGCACAGTGCAAGTCGTGTGGGCTACGAAGAAAGTTGAGAAGTTGCGGCCTTGCAGCATAAGTCTCCCCGAACTGGCCTGTTCGTTGTGCCGAAGGTGGTCTCAGCACCAGTTGCGTAGGTGGAGCAGTCGTCGGAGCCTTCGCACGAATAACTCGGGCTCGCAGCCGCTGAGGCCTCCTTTCGACTCTCGCAGCTAGGCTGACCTCATGTTGATGCCCTGTATAACCCTGTATGATAGACAACCATCAGATTGCGAACGATTTCACTTGCAGGTGACGGGTCCCGGACCCCAATTCCAACATGTCTTCATGCTCGGTGCACAATCGGGAGCCTTGAAACAGAAAGAGTCCGAATCTTGGGACTGCACGACTTGCTAAAATCACCCGACGCGATCCGATTTTGACGGGCCATCCCGAACCCTCGCACTGGAAGTGACATACCAATGATTCCCCAAAAGCCTTGTGCTCTTCCTAGACCATCCTGACCGTGGTTTATCATGGGTACAAGTACTGGGGTTAAGCACTGCAAGGGCCAGGCTTCGGTCTTGGGGGCACCTGACCACAGGCTTTAGGAACTTTAAGCAAAAGAGACTGCCTTCGCCGTGGGCGCAGGAAGCGACGCAGGATTTTGCGCCTCGGTTTGCGAAGTCTGAAAGTCTTCCGAGTCTGCCAATCATCTTACTGGATTGCATACGAGATTCCCGAATGTGCCTCGGCTCCGTGCAAGTGGTCAATACAGTGTAAACATGCCTGTATCCAAAGCCAGGACGATCAAATACGACCAACATATTTGGCACAGTCATGCTTCACGCAATCCATATCCTGGTCTTGCCCTTGTCATACAAGCCCCATGCAGTCACTTTACGATGGCATTTCCCGCGGATTGGTTTGTTATTGTATGCTAGCCCAAAGGTGCAGGAGGGGAGGCTGACACGAGCAAACAAAAAGCGATCACCTCGCTCCCGATCGGACAGACAGTATGTGAAAGTATGCAGACTCGCCGAGCCCTGCAGCGTGAAGCACTTTTCAAGATCGACTAGCAGGTTTGCTCAGGCATTGCCAAGCAATCAAAGCGCGTTGCCCTTGGCGTTCTCACCCTGGCG